ACCTTTGACTCCTGGTGAAATCAACTTACGAATTTGTTCCTCATATACTTTTAACATAAATCATTATTTATTTATTTCAATTGTTTATTTAGTTTCATAATAAATTATTCAGGCTATTTCAGGGCCAGCAATGGAAGGCTGTACTGGATGAATTGTGTTTATAAACACAAACATATCCTAAGGTATGAAGACCAAGACGGCGTAGCCTTTTGTATGGTAACAGTCTGCTTTCGTCGTATAGAAGTTGTTTGACCTTGTGTTCGCTGGTTGGTCATATTGGCAGGAGGACCTGGAGCAACGCCCCTAGTCCGGAGTTCATTGTAGGAATGCTAATGTCCACGTACCATGTACCACTTTCACGGTCCGACTCTGGAAATGATCATGGACTCCGGACTAGGTCTTCCAGCCAATATGACCAAGTTGCGAAAAGAAGATCAAACAACTTCTATAAACAGATTCTGTCGTGGCGAAGGCCAATAATGTACACCTCGCGCCAACATTATTTTAGTTTCAGTAAAGAGTGCATTCTTTAATCGAATAACTGTGCCGAAATAAGAAAAAATATTTTTTCGCCAGTTTGGCTATGCCGATTCTCAGGAAAGTGTAGCTTGTACGTTATGGCTGGGTTAACGATGAATGGGTCGGATCGGAGTGTTAAAATAAAATCCAAAACTTAGCCCCATTTTGACAGTGACATTTCCAAGCAGCACATGTCACCCAAAAGAGTGATATAAGCCGAAGTCATTATTTCGTGACAGTAGTTGGCGTCTTTGCAGTCGCAGAGACATTTTTTTTCTGTACGACGTAATTAGCACCTCTTTCTACCCTTCAGCCGGAAGCATATCTCCTACCTTCCTAACTGCTCTACTTTTAATGACGTTTGATTTGACTTTTGTTGCGTCTAGTTCAGAAGTCAATGTGTCCCAATACTCTTTCTGTTTATGTAAGGTATGATGCTTTCTTCTTATCTCAGACTTTTCCAGGTGGGCATTCCAAGCGAAATTCATTATCCCGATCTCGACTCATTAGTCAAGACTGCTGGGTGCAAATATGGAATGTCTGGATTTAGGTGTGGAAACTAAACACCCACGTGTGATTTTCCAGCACGGATGGGTAATAGTGGTGCTATATCAAATTGAGCAAAGAGGTGATTTAAAGCACATGAATTGAGTGTAGGCTACACGTGTTCTTTTGTTGCTGTGAGTGTGCAAAACTGTTGTGAAAAGAAGAGATTCACCTGCAAGCTTTAGGCGTTTATTTATAGATGCTTTTTACGGTCATTAAGCAGCAATTTCAGCGATCTTAAGTTGAAGTATGCAGTTGTGGCACCATTTTATTTTATTGCTTTGCAAAAAGGTGATTTTCACTTTACTCCTAAGACTCTGCTGTACTGATTTGCCTAACCAGACATGAAGAAAAGAGCGTTTAATAGACTTTTAGTGCCAACTTCACTTTGCTTGTATTTGTTGTCCTGTGTCTAATTAGCACTTTCTGGTGATGAGTGGATTCTCCTCGTGCTTAGGAATCGGAATTGTGAAGCGCAATTTTGACCAAGTTTCTGGCAATGTTGTCAGGCCTTGAAGCAAGCAGGAGCCTGTGGCCCGTCTGTTATGGAGGAAGTGCCGACCGAAGACAAACATGGCCGCATGGTGACAACGATTTGTGCTTTGTGCAATTTTTGAGCTCACTTCCATCGCGAGAAGTAAGTTAAGATTTGTCACATCGAAAGACGACGGCCATTTTGCCTTATCGGAATGTTCCGGTTAATACTGTCTTCTACGTTTTCGATAGAATCATCAACACTAAAAGACATTCGCGGGCCAATCAATTCAAGATAATGCATCAGGGAGGATCCACAGCCCATTCCTACATGAGGTATGCATGATATAGGCCTGTCGACTTTCCTGCCCTCATTAGGGCGTGGGTTCGGATGATGCAGATTTGTTGACACGTCAAGCGAAATGACAGAAAAAAGGTTCGCATGTTTTCGCCGGCAACGAACGAGATGGTTTCGAGGACATGACCATTTAGAATGTTCGAGTAGGGCAGAAGCATGTGTCATCGCATTCTGACATGTCCGAGCCTCGAATC